GGGTTAAGTTCCCAAGTCAGGCATAAGGCAAAAATCACCTATAAAGGGCACTTTTCATTTCCTATGTAAGTAGTGAGCCTTGTTACTGGGGATCACAGTGAAGCGGGTGGGGGTTCTTATTAGAACGGCAGACTCTCACGCCACGTCCCCAGTCCCGGCATCTGTAGTTGACAAGAACCCAAATAGTCCTCCCCTCCTTCCAGAAGAGCTATCCATCACAGCAGAGGCCCTGCTGACACTGCCCCAGTCTCCACTGTCTTAGCATGTCCTGCTCACAGAGCTCATGCTGGGAACCAGGGGCAGGAACACATGAAGCCGGACAATCAGCCCAGCAGGGACAGGGTCCCTCTCAGCTGGCCGTCGCTCCCTCCCCAGGAGTTTGCAGCATGTGGTCCCTGGACCATCTGCAGGAGAACACTTGGTAAAAGGCAGGTTTCAGTAATCCTAGCCCAAGTATGCAGAGTCTCCCGTGTAGAACCCAAGAACCTGCATTTTTAAGCAATTCAGGAATCTCCTTATGACCAAGAGAGTTGGGAATTATACTACTAGCTGTGCAAGAGAGAGAAAAGGGAGAGACACCTTTTCAGTATGTCACCCACTTGCTTCAGGTAGACTGGCCTCTACTGCAAATGAAGACTGAGCCAGTTGTCAAAGCAAAAGCCGTCTTAATAATAAGTTAAACTGTCTTTCATTTCTACATACATTTAGATTTACTAGTATCTGGGTTATCTGAAAGACTATTATTGATTCTTCTATGAAACTACAGTGAATAATACATACTATCATCTCTGATTCTATTTGAGAAAGAATATAACTCCTAGACTTTACCTTAATGTAATGAGAAAATACCTTCTATGTACCAATTATATCCCCAGCACTACAAATTATGTTGATAATGAAGTATATACGTTTAAACACCTTAAGAAAAAAATAAAAAGAAATAATTATAGTCAGGGGAGGGTGGATGGGGGGGAACTGATCAACCCAAGAACTTGTATGCATTTATGCATAACCCATGGGCACGGACAATAGGGTGGTGAAGGCCTGGGGAGGGAGGCGGGGCTGGGCTAGAAGGGGTCATATGTAATACTTTCAACAATAAAGATTAAAAAAATAAAAATTAAAAAAGAAAAGGAAATGATTATGTCCGTGCACATTGTTGAACCCACTCATTCTTCACATCCTCTCAAATCCAACTGAGAAGCCACTTTCTGAGCAGAAAACGCCAGGCTGTCTCCCAGGGCAGCAGCTTCCCGTGTTAATAGGGCTGCAGGGAGAATCCTCGGAGCCACGCTGTTAATTGGAGGCCTTTGCGAGAAGTCTGAGGATACACAGGCCTGGTGACTGCCGGGCTTTCTGCCCTGGGGCGCCAGCGAGGAAATGAACTTCAAGCGCGCCCTGCTCTGAACCCTGGCCTTGGGAGGGCAGGGCAGCTGGCCCCCGCGGCCCACAGGGGCCCATTTGCTCTTGAGTGGGGCTGTTAACCCTTGGACTCTCCATGCTTCTGGGATTTATCTCATTTAATCCTCCCGTAGCCAAATTCATTAGTGGTAAATATTCCGTCTCACTCTTCTCCCAGTTGCCTTCCCTCATATTCATCCCCCCCGCCACTCCGTTTGCCTTCTGCATTTTGTAAGCCTGACCATCATTTCCCATTTCTTTAAATAACCCATTTCACTTAATTTTGGTCTATTTATAGGACTAATATTTTCCTTTGCTGATTTTAGGGAGCTACTTTTACTTTTTTATCCTTTTTTCCCCCTACCAGCACCCAGGCTGCATTTGAGACCAAACACTGAGGCCGCCCCAGGTGGTGCCCGGGAGCCAGCATTGGTAAAGCTCCCTGCACGGCTTAGTCTGCACCTGGTTGAGTACTGCCATGTAAGAACCCCAGTGTAATGACCCAAGGTTTCTACACACATGGCAGGACATGAAACACAGGCCAGTGGACACCTGACTTGAAGGAGAGCCCGGAGCAAGTGGAATCTGGAGCTGGTCCAGTGCGTCCATGAGCTCTCAGGGCCCTCCTTCTTGAAATACTGAGAAGACAGAAGTTGAGGCTTACACCCAAACACTGAGGCCGCCCCAGGTGGTGCCCGGGAGCCAGCATTTGTAAAGCTCCCTGCACGGCTTAGTCTGCACCTGGTTGAGTACTGCCATGTAAGAACCCCAGTGTAATGACCCAAGGTTTATACACACATGGCAGGACATGAAACACAGGCCAATGGACACCTGACTTGAAGGAGAGCCCGGAGCAAGTGGAATCTGGAGCTGGCCCAGTACGTCCATGAGCTCTCAGCATCCTCCTTCCCAAAATACTAAGACAGAAGTTGAGGCTTACAGATTACTCTGAGGCCAACACAAACTTCTCTGTGGACCCCATCCTAATCCCAGCAAAGGCTCTTATTAACCACTAGATGTCCCGTAAATTAATCTGAAAATGATTTCATTTTCTTGAGTGAACACCAATCTAAAGACAAGTTTAGGGATGGGGAACTGACTGCTATAATTAGGGGCTGGGCTGCATTTAGCCAAACTTGGGGTTGCCTTTAGACCCCACTCTGGTGCTCTGGGAGGAGATAAGTCAAGAAACCTGTTTCCTCCTCATCAGTTTCATGCTATGCAAAAGATCTACAAGAACTTGGAATGTGCTAAGAATAGATTCTACACTTGATCTTAGTCACCAGGCTGAACACAAACCTGGAACGGACTTTCTAACCTCAGAGGGAAGGTGGGGAGAGTGGGTGGGTGGAACGAGATCAACCAAAGAACTTGTATGCATATATGCATAACCCAAGGACAGAGACAACAGGGTGGAGAAGGCCTAGTGCTGGGGGTAGGGGCATCAATGGGGGAATAAAGGGGACATGTGTAATACGCTCAACAATAAAGATTATAAAAAGGATTTTAACAAGAAAAAAAGAACTTGGAATCTATTAAATGAGAGAGAGATGGTAAATGTCAAACAAAAGAGATAAACCCTGAGACTGTGGCGAGGGAGGCAAGCTGGTGACATGAGGAACAAATGCAAATTATATAAAAGAATCACACATACAAAAAACTTTAAAAATGATCTCAAAAGGCTCCAAGAGTAGAATCAACTCTGCAAAAATCAGGAAAATGAAAGGGAAACAATTATGAAGCAATAACCTAGAATCCAGAGACTAAAGAGCATAAAGACAATTAATTCCCTGGCCACTTACAAAGTGCTTATCTCTGAGCAAAATACTTTATGTAGGAAATTCATTTTTTATCTTTACAACAATTATAAAACATAAAAAAGGTTTCTACCCCCATTCTATATATGAGAAGACTCTGTTCTGGGGATATGTTTGTAAATTCCCCTGAGATCACACAGGCAAGAGATAAGTAAAAAATAAAAAAATGAAAATAACGGTGATGGCTAATACCGATTCTATGGTGAGAATTATTTTTAAAGTGTTGATTCCTTTAAACCCCAATAACCACCTTATGGGTCAGAAAAATGCAACTGATGCATCTACTTGGTTGTAAGAAAGTAAGAAAGCTCATGTGATAGATCCGGTTTCTCCTCGGGTGTTTAAGATGGTTTGATATAAATATCCACCGAGCTGGGTGAGAAAGCGAGGCTAGCATTTAGATAGTTTGGAAAAATATAAAATATTTAATGAGGAGGCTGGGAGAAGGAGCTTATTTTAGAAATGTGATAGGACTGGCGTCATGACCGAGTGCCCGTTTGGAAAATGCAGGCTGAGAATTTTTAGTGATAAACTGTGTGTGTGTGAGTGAGTGAGTGAGTGAGTGAGTGTGTGTGTGTGTGTGTGTGTGTGTGTCTGTTTCAGCCCCTTTAGCTACAACGTGCCCATTGGGCAAAGTCAAACTGTGGACTAACTCAGGGTGGGCTTTTATCAGGTGGTAAAAATAAAAACAAAGGAAGTAAAAATAGATTAAAAAGAAACTGTTGGTATATTTGAGCTGTAGAGGCTAAAGAGTCTAAAAAAGGAAGTAAGGGCTCAAGGGGGCTGACCAATAGCCCCCTGACAAGATCATTATGGCCACTCCAAAATCCATATGATTTTTCAAGTTATAAAATTCTTTGACAGAGGAAAACATGTTTTTTTTTCTATCAGTTTTATGAAGTATTTTCCTTTTTTTTTTTTTTTTGGTTTAAGGCTTATTCTGACTGTCTATTTCAGGTGCTGTTACACTTCATGAAGCTGTAAGCTGCTCTTATCACACATGTGCACGGATTTGAGTCCAGGACATGTGTGTGATGTCCATGAGTCTAATCCACTTCCATCGGTCTGCGTGGCCCTGTGAGAAATTGATTCACCGGGGTGCCCACCAAACTGCTGGCACTCTGATCCTCCTGTACCCGGACATAATTAGGTTTAATCAGCAATTTTACAATAAATAATGGTGCCATGAACTTGGGCTGGTCCCAGAGAGTGCATTTTTTGCGTGGTGAGGTAGGTCTGCTGGTGCTGTATGAACATGCAGGATCCCGAGAAGATGTCTGAAGAGCTTTAAGAGCTCTAGACACCTGTGACCTGATCTCCTGGGGACAGAGGATGGCAGCCTTGTACTGAAGCTATGCGTAAAAGCCCATGATGACTCTTTTCACCTCAAATGAATGCAGGCTTCCATCTCATTAGATGGTTGTTTTGTTGTTTAACGACTATTATTTTTAATTTTTATGTGTCTTTTTAATTGATTTCAGAGAGGAAGGGAGAAGAAGAAGAGAGAGAAGCATCAATGATGAGAGAGAATCATCCATTGGCTGTCTCCTGCCCACCCCCTATTGAAGTTCAAGCCCATAACCTTGACCTCCTGGTTCATAGGTGGGCATAGGTGGTTCAAACACTGAGCCACGCCAGCCAGGCTGGTTCCTGTTTTTAAGCAGGCACATATAGATGAAATATTAATACTTTTGGAGGAAAGAAACCTTAAGGAATGCTTTTACTTAAAATCAAACAAAAAGCCAATGAATAAGGTTTACTCCCTTGAGGAGTCGCCTCTACCTGTGAGGTTGCTGGCATGCACAAGCTCAGATGTGACACAGGGGGTGCGGGGTGGGCCGGGCCCGCCACCCTCAGGGCAGGCTCGCAGGATGTACTTCTCAATCACACCTCTGACCTCCACAGGTTCATCCCAGGCCACTTCCACGCTCGACCCGTTTATGCTGCGGACTCGGGAGGGGGCTGGCACGCTGCGTGGAGCTGCGGACGAGTGAGAGAGAAAATAGGAGGAAATGCCGAGCGGAGGAGACTGCTGCCCCATTCTTCACTTTTAATGGCCGCAGTAAATCAGGCTCGACCATTAGCATAAATACAATTTATTAGAGTTGTAACTTTTCAGCACTGATTTAATATGACTGCACATCTTGAGCCATTCGGCTTAAGCGATATTTCAAAACCATCAAAACTCCATCGACATAACGTGCTTCCGAGTCTGGTCCAGGCTTTCCCCAAACATTTAATGGAGCCGACATGTTTCAAACATCACTCATAAGGGAGGAGGTGGACGGTGGGCAGGTAACAAGTTCAAACAATGGAACGATGTCCCCCTTTGAAGCGAGGTAATTAGGAGTGTTATTATACACAGCGGTTTGACACTTTTATATCTTCGGTGGATTAGCCAAAAATTATCACAAATGTGATGGTATTTTACTGGGATGTCTGATCTCACTTTCTACATTCAATTGTTCTCAAATTATTTTTTTAAAAATCAAAATTCTCTCAGATATGATATACAGATGAATTCCTGATTGCATTTCAGGGGGTGGAGAAGCGCGTGTCCTTGAGATTCTACACAATCATTTTGGGGGATGTTTTCTACAGAGTATCAAAAAACACTAATACAGCCCAGCCGGTGTGGCTCCGTGGTTGAGTGTCGACCTATGAACCAGGAGGTCAGGGCACATGCCTGAGTTGCGGGCTCAATCCCCAGTGGGGGACATGCAGCAGGCAGCTGATCCATGATTCTCTCTCATCATTGATGTTTCTATCTCTGTCTCCCTCTCCCTTCCTCTCTGAAATCAATAAAAATATATTAAAGGCACACACACAAACCCACTAACACAAAAGGGATTTTAAAGCAACTGCAAAACTTCACTTACAAGCTGTGTCCCCTAATTTTAAAAATCTATACCTTTAACTATTTATCACGTGTTCCCACGGATCTGATCAGTAAAAACCTCATCACAGCTGACTGCGCTGGGGACACAGAAAAGGCCCGAGGAAGCCCTGGCAGGATGATGGATGAGGGACCCGCTGTGGTGGCTCCTGGACTCCGGGGCCCTGTCGGGATGGTCGCTCCGGGTTTCCCCTGTCCAGTAGCCTCCTGCTCGGACTTCACCGTTCAGAAAATATGAATTTATGGCATAAAGACTCGGTGGTCAGATTGTCGCTGTAAATTCACTGCTCTGTTTGCATATTTTCTCAGTGGTCCTCACAAAGGAGACTAGTGAGCTACACTCAGTGATGTACTTTCCAGATACTGATTTCCGGAATCAGATGAAAGGCAGGCTTTATGGCGTATTTGTTAATAAAGTAGAGAAGTGGGCCCGGGATGGTTTTCTCAGTGGTTAGAGCATTGGCCTGTGAACTGAAGGGTCCCAGGTTCGATTCCAGTCAAGGGCATTTACCTTGGTTGTCGGATAAATTCCCAGCCCTGGTCGGGGTGCCTGTGGAAGGCAACCAATGAATGTCTCTCTCTCACACTGATGTTTCTCTCTCTCCCCATCCCTTTTACTCTCTCTAAAAAGAAATGGGAAAATATACTTGGGTGAGGATTAAAAAATAAAAAGTAGAAAAGTGTGCAATAGGGTCAGAGGACATGCCAGTAACAAGTAAATATTTTATATCAGAGCTTTCTCCAAACTCTGAACATTCAATTCATTGTCTTCCCTACAAATAGATGATCATGTAAATCACCCTGGGAAAAGGGGCATGATGTCTTCTTCTGGAGAATCTGTAGGCAGAAAAACATTCAATTCATTGTCTTCCCTACAAATAGACGATCATTTAAATCACCCTGGGAAAGGGGGCAGGCTGTCTTCTGGAGAATCTGTAGGCAGAGAGCTTTGAAAATTATTCTTAGTAGCCCATCTCAGTACGCAGTCATCTTTTAGATGGACAAGATTCCGCAAAAGATTCCTGGGTCAGTCACCCTTCGTTGATTAAAAAAAAAAGTATGAGAGAATATCTGGGTGAAAAACGTATCTTTGGATAAACTGTGACTTGCTCAGGATCAATGTGAAGAGACGTTAAGTGGCATCACATGGAAATGTATTTGCCTCTCTCACAGATACTTGACCCAAAAGGGTAGAAGGCTTCTGACTCACACAACTTTCTGTGAGGAACGCCTTGCTGTGATGACACTACGCAAAAAGATGGATCGTCACCGTCAGACGCTCAACGCACTCATAAATCCGTTCTCTGGGATGAGACCTAGGGCATTCTATCTAACTCCTAGTTGTCTCCACTCCGACTGAAAGAAAGAGTAGACCAGTCAGCAATTTCTGTCCCGGGAGAGCCATTCTAAGACCCTACAGTCAGCACCATAGCAAACGTCTGGCATGACGGGCCCAAACCCAGGTGCTTCCAACCAGGGCACAGGTTTCAAGGTCACCTTCTGGGAGAGGGAGGCCACCCCCTCAGTGGTCATCCCGACGTCACTTCCTGGGGCCTGTCCAGGCTATCACGGCTTCCTGTCCTCAGCATATGACTGTAGATGCAGGCTGTGGAATCCCTAAGACAAATTAAACATTTCTTCTTCGGAAGAGGAAAGAGTCAAGCCTCAGCCTCTACTTACTAAACACCCAAAAAAGCAAAGCACTTCAGTCATCGGCCGATGCGTCAGCCAACCAAGGCACGCGCCCCCACAGAGCGCAACGTGCTCCTTGCGCCAACACTGTGATGGCCTTCCCTTTCCTTCACATGCGCAAACACGGGTGCACAGGCATGTGCGTGTGTGGGCACACAGACAGGTGGAGAGGAAAACTACTTACCTGCTCCAGTCGTGCGCCCCCGGCTCCAGTCACTCCAGACAGAACCCCCTTCGTGCGAGGCCATCACGCGGTACAGGTACTCTTACATGGAAAGAGGAAGTAGAAGGAGTAAAACGTTAGTCCCTGCAGACGAGGGGAGGGGCTGGAAGGAGGGAACAGGACGAGGACGGGGAGGAGGTGGGTGACATGTCACGTGGATGAAGCCCCCCACGCTACCTGTGAAGGGCTGCAGGCCGCGCTCCTGCGTGCTGGGCTCCGGGCCCCGGTACACCAGGATGGAGTCGTTCCCCCGGCAGTTAACGGCGCTGTCACTTGACAGGCATCCGTCCAGATTGACTCTGACAGCGCCGCTGGACACAGACGCCAAGCGGAGGGCGGTGCCGCGCTCAAACGCAACGTCCCGCATGCAGCCGCCGAAACCTGGCCAACAGGGAGAGACCGGTCACCCACAGGGTGAGAGCCACTCGTCACCCATCCTCTCTGTCCTTGGCGGGGCATCTGGGTGGGGGTGGAGGGGTGTTAGATACAATCTCTAAACCTGCACATCTCCTGGGGGAACCCTTGGTGCCCCCTCCACTGTCACAAGGAAATGCTTATACTGATGTTATTTGGGGAAAAATATAAACAGATGAGTATAATTCAACTGAGCTTTATTCAGCTGAACGCCTGTGCTATGCTCTTCAGGTCTACATTTCCTCCTTGTGCAGATGCTACTGGAGTGATATTTAGCTCACTGCACATTAAGGCAGAGGTGGGGGGATCCACATGCCCGCGATTCCGAAAAATTAAGTTACCTACAAAAGTGAGTGTTTAAGGGCCACAAAAAAAAACCAATACCTCAAGTAGCATAATTTTTCAACAAGATCACTGGGGGAAAAATACCCTTCGAGGGTATTATGCAGGACACCAGGAGGGGGAACAGAGCTTTGAAATACACTGGGGTCCTCAGATATTGCCCTGCATCCCTCACTAATTGCTTCGGAGATACAGAACAAAGTCCCTGTAAAATCGACAGACAGAGAGAAGGGCTACGGCTGCGCTCGACCATTTTCACTGTATTCCACACCGTGAACATACAAACGGTTCCAGTTTGGGGTTCGAGGTGGCATGACAGGGAACAGGGTTGTTTTGACAATGGCCACACCCAGAAGTGTCCCTGAATGTGTCACCCACACAGTCGACTTTAAAACGGCCACCATGCAGTTCAAGTCCGTGAAGATGAACCACAGAACGTGGAGAAAACGGAGGGGGATGCACTGGTTTTTAGTTGGAAAACTTCACGGCAGCCAGCCGGCTGGGGGACAGCAGTTGCTTTGAGTGACAGACTAGTGAGTGTAAACAGAGACCAGCTCAGGGAGGCATGGCAGTTCTCTGCTCAGAAAACTGCACAAAATGGTCATAGAAGAAATGAGCAGCCTGCCTTTGAGATTGCCAGTGTGCGCACCTACACACACACACACACACACTCCTTCTGAACTGAACACGGTCAAGTTCGCAAGGCCCCTAGCACATGATTAGCTCTTTTCAAGACGAAAGCACCTCAGCGGAGAGTGGAAATAAAACATCATGCAAAGGCTGAGCAGTAAAATAACTTCATAGTAACAATGAACACATTGTTCTCTTCAGAGTTTATATGGTGTCTTATTATCTCTCCAAACACATTACGTGAACCTATTTCCTTTTTAAATGCTGTTGCTATTATTCACATTCCTTTAGGCCCGGCCGATCGATACTGTTGGTCTATCGTGAACACACAGTAGATGCTCCGTAAGTTGGGTGAATTGAATTAAAAGCAATGAAGCTCAATACAAAGGCATCTGCTTGAAAATTCCAAAGCTAAGAATGCAGATTTCTTTGCCAGCGATTTTCTGACGGCAAGGAGCTGAATCACCCGACTCCTCTGCACCCTACCAGCCAAACAGCGACCACGAAAGGCAGCCGTGGCCAATACCTGCGCTGTTATGAGAAACCCCGTTACTAAGGGGCACAGTTTCAGTTGGCAAGACGGAAAGAATTCTGGAGGTGGATGGTGAGATGGTTGCACAACAGCGTGAATGTACTTAATGCCACTGACTGTGCGTGTAAAAATGGTTAAGATGGCAAACTCTGTTATGTTGGATTCAGCGCAATCTTTAAAATTGTAAGAAAAAATATCTAAAGTAGTAATTTACAGGATGGGATTTTAAATGTGGGAACGTCCACAGACAGAGTCTTCCTTCATTCTGGAGATGAGGAAGGCCCAGCCGAGCCGGTGGGGTTCAATGGCTGAGCGTGTGTGCGTGTAAAAATGGTTAAGATGGCAAACTCTGTTATGTTGGATTCAGCGCAATCTTTAAAATTGTAAGAAAAAATATCTAAAGTAGTAATTTACAGGATGGGATTTTAAATGTGGGAACGTCCACAGACAGAGTCTTCCTTCATTCTGGAGATGAGGAAGGCCCAGCCGAGCTGGTGGAGCTCAATGGCTGAGCGTGTACCTATGAACCAGGAGCCCATGGTTCGATTCCTGGTCAAGGGCACAGGCCTGAGTTTTAGGCTCGATCCCCAGCGTGGGGTGTGCAGGAGGCAGATCGAGCAGAGGGTTATGGGAATGAAGTCTGCAATGTTTTTTCCCACCTGCACCAGGAGAAGTATTCCCATCAGGAACACTCCCCAACTTCCTTCCGGATTTGAATGGGGCGTGAGGATAAGAAGAGGGGCGAAGGTCTGTGAGTGGGAGCAGTGTGGGCGCCTCCTTTTCTTGCTTCCTTGTCTTTGTAAGAATCAAAAACAAACAAATGAACAAAAAACCCTCCCACTTCTATGCCCGCTCCCAGGTCTCCACATAATTGAAAGGTGGCCCAGAACCGCGGGCTGACACCTCAGCCAGGAGCCCTTCTGAAGGAGGCGGTCCAAGGCCAGGCTAGTGGTCTGGCCGGAAGGCTGGCTTTCAGCCCCCAGTGCCACCCCCTCCAGGGAGCATGACCTTTGACACCATGTGTCATGCCTGCACTTCCAACCTAGTGGTCAGTGACAGTCTCCCGGGCAGTTCTAAGCTAAATGCCCAGGATCTGAGCTAGTACATGGCCAGCGAAGTATGTTGCCCGGCATATCCACAATACACAGAGAACTAAATTTGCCTTTGACTCAAAGGAAGATTCCAACATTAATGGATAAGAAAAAAACACACACAAAAAACCAGCCCTGGCCCTAACCGGTTTGGCTCAGCGGATAGAGTGTCGGCCTGCAGACTCAAAGGTCCCAGGTTCGATTCCGGTCAAGGGCATGTACCTTGGTTGCGGGCACATCCCCAGTACGGGGTGTGCAGGAGGCAGCTGATCGATGTTTCTCTCATTGATGTTTCTAACTCTCTATCCCTCACCCTTCCTCTCTGTAAAAAATCAATAAAATATATTTAAAAAAAACACACCAAAAAACAGCCCTGATATGACCACAAAACAGAGGCTCTGAAAGAGGTGCTGATGGAGAAGCCTGGAGAGATTTCTAAGACTGTGGATAACCGACGGAAAAAGGTACAGCACGTGAACTCGATGAATTTGAACTGCAGCTGAGTTCACTATGTAGCACCTCTACAGTAAATAGTCTCCTGACCTCCATCTAAAACATGCAGTGACTTGTAAAGACCAGTAGCAATCAAAGCATCTGCACTGGAATCGGAGGAAACAGGGTCATAAAATATGCATTTTTAATAACCTTTCTAGGCAATTCCAATGTATGTTGGTGAGCAGTAACAACAATGATGATGATGATAGCTAATTTTATTGAGTTCCTACTATGTCCCAGTCCTAATATGTACTGTACTTCATATTTTATCAGTGGTTTGAGACCGCCTGATGTAGCTGATACTGCACTGATAAAAATTTAGTATTACCCATAAATGAAGTATCTTTCAGGATTATAGACTTGGTCACAGCGTAGATTAAATCATTCCCTTTGGGTCTAGGTTGATGTTCTAAACTTCTGTCATTATAATATGACAATCCCAGTTTAAGCCATGTCTCTAGGGCCCTCACGGGAGTGGGTGTTGGAACACTTTAAAGTAAAATGCATGGTAGGCATTTTTCCCCCCTAGCTCTAAATAAGGTCAAGTCATCTTGCTCAGATAAAGGGTTTCCAAGCTCTCTTTCACCTCAGCAACCTGAATTCAGGAGAAGCCTTTATATGGATGTAATATTTCCAGCCTCTGTTACATCTTAAGTGCCTTGAAAATGTCATTACTGTCGTACACCTCAGATATTCATTAACTCCTTACCCGTACCCTTCTAAAAGTCTTCTTAGAGTTTGCCATATATTTTCTATTCGAAGGCATTTAAATCTTTATGTACTTACCAAATAGGCAAAAGCTGCTTTGTGGAAATTTTAACCATTCACAGTGCATGGGTTTTGGAACTAGGTAGAGACCACTTTCTATGTGGGAGCATGCCGGGCCACAGGCTGGGGGTCTCTGTGTCCCGCCCCCCATGCCTTATAGCAGCGGTTCTCAACCTGTGGGTCGCGACCCCTTTGGCGGTCAAACGACCCTTTCACAGGGGTCGCCATCCTGCATATCAGATATTTACATTAAGATTCATAACAGTAGCAACATTACAGTGATGAAGTAGCAACGAAAATAATTTTATGGTTGGGTCACAACATGAACTGTATTTAAAGGGAAAAAAGGTTGAGAACCACTGCCTTATAGAGAAGGGTCAGTGGCCATGAAGAGAGCACTTCTTATAAGAAGGTGGATTAAGAAGGGTCAGTGCCCATGAAGAGAGCACTTCTTATAAGAAGGTGGATCTGACGCCTGGACACCCGACCAAAGGGCTTGCTGGCTGTTTACCAGCCACGTGATTTTGGACAAACTACTTTCCTCCTTGCTCTTCAGGTTCCTCATCAGTCAGATGGGGACATAGATACGGGTAGTAACACCTAACTCCTAGTTAGGAACAGCAAACTCCATCTCGTGGAAAGCTCTCAGAACCATGCCTGGCACCCAGCACAAAATCAGCCATTGGGACCTTTCAAAATAAACAATTTATCTAATTATGCTCAATCTCATTATGTGAGTTAAATGCTATGAGTTACGTGAGTTACTTTTTTCCTCTGCTTATGTTAAAACCCGTGATATGAGTTAAACAGTTCAGTATGACTCATACACTCATTAACTTTTCCTTCCTGGTTATGAAGAATCAATGAAACAGATTTTTTTACACAAGCCTGTTTGAAACTCAGCTAAACCCAGCTCTCTGTGTGTGTGTTGCTGCAGGAGAGGGCCGTGGAGATGCAAGGAGACACTTGGCACTTATGACAGAAAACAGCCCTGGTGACCTGAACGCCAGTTTCCTAGTTGCACACCAACCTAATTTATGTTTTAATTCTGTAAATACAGATAATGATCAGTCTTCAAAAAAACCCAGAACCACATATGTTTTCCAGGAAAACATAGAAGTATATAATATGCAAATTAAATTATATTTTCTGAAGACATGTTAGAATACATATATTCATTATAAATATAATGATTATGGAGGAGGGCATGCTCCTAAGGGCAATATACAAAACTATGGGAAGACGTGATATATATATATATATTGTGTATATATATACACAATATATATATATATTTTGTGTAACTTCACATTATGCAATAAAGGGGTGGGTGGGAGTTGCTTTTACCCTGACTCTGTCGCTACATCTCGAAACAAGAACCACCCAAACAGAACCACCCAAACCTGGTAAGACCAGGGCTGCTGTGATTTGGCGACTCCTCCAGGTGGAGTTTACCTGGCTCCAAGCCCAGGTGTGCGTGAGAGTCCTGCAGTTCGGAGGGGACTCCTCCCAGGTAGACGGCGGAATTCACCGCCAGCGGCTGGGCTCTGGGCTGTGACATGCGCTCCATCAGTTCGTTCAGGCTGGCGGACACCAGGGCACCTTCCTTTCGAACCGTCACCTTATTCCACGTCCCATCACAGTAGGACAGCCCCAGCCACAGGTCCACTCGGGTGAAGGTAAGACTGGTGTTTAACCGGAGGCTCAGTATTCCACTCTTCAGCTCCACCTGCATTCATAGTGAAGAGCCAAACAAGTATGAAAAGACTATCTCTCAGAGGGAAGGCAGGGAAGGCAGGGTGGATGGGTGGGAAGAGATCAACCAAAGACTTTGTATGCATAACCCATGGACACGGACAATAGGGTGGTGAGGGCCACCTTCCTTTCGAACCGTCAACTTATTCCACGTCCCATCACAGTAGGACAGCCCCAGCCACAGGTCCACTCGGGTGAAGGTAAGACTGGTGTTTAACCGGAGGCTCAGTATTCCACTCTTCAGCTCCACCTGCATTCATAGTAAAGAACCAAATAAGTATGAAAAGACTAGCTCTCAGAGGGAAGGCAGGGGAGGAAGGGTAGGTGGGTGGAAAGAGATCAACCAAAGCCCTTGTATGCATAACCCATGGTCACGGACAATAGGGTGGTGAGGGCCTGTGGGGGATGGGGATGGACTAGAAGTGGTCAATGAGGGGATATATGTAATGCTTTCAACAAAGAAGATTTTTTAAAAAATAGACTAAAAATGACACTTTGGGAGAGAGCAGAAGTTCCTTTTCTTAAAAAAAAAGCAAGGAATGTACCTGAGCCCCACCAGTGTTGCTCAGTGGTTGAGCATTGACCTAGGAACCAGGAGATCACAGTTCGATTCCCGGTCAGGGCACATGCCCAGGTTGTGGGATTGATACCCAGTGTGGGGTGTGCAAGAGACAGCCGATCAATGATTCTCTCTCATCATTGATGTTTCCATCTCTTCCTCCCTCTTGCTTCCTCTCTGAAATCAATAAAAAAAATATTTTTTTTTTAAAGAAAGAAATGTCTCTGAAAGCACTCTATAAAAAGAGTCTACTTTGTTTTAAGCCAAACTGGAGTAGCATACAATGAAGTACTTGGCAAGCTTATAATTGACATGAAGAATACTGTAGTGAGTCAAAGAAGGTCATAGGCAGTAATGATTACGTGACATGACACCACATGAGGCAGGCAGATACTTTTTGGGGATGCAACGAGGTCAAGATTACACACAAGCATAGGTGACTGAAGAGGACAGGACAGTTTGAACTATAGTTCTGTTTTTGAGTTTTTAGAAAATGAGAAAATACTACTTTGTATATCAATTTAATTTTGGGGGGAAATATGACAATAAGAAAATGAAATGTCAAGCTTGATTAAGTTTATTTTAACTGGTTAGTGAACTCAATTTCAAATTTGTAAGACATATTTTGATGTACTATTTCAGTTTTATTAGTTTAAATCTCTAACTCACATAATTGCTTCTTTCAGATTAAGGTGCCATTTTCTAATACGAACATAGTTTGCCCAATTTTTCATGAGACAGGAAATGCCTCCACTAAGTTTTCCTTCAAAATGGTACATGATAGCTATTTTCCCTACTGGGTTGTTGTTTTGTTAGAAGTCAAATCAGCAACCGCAGGATACTTAAAAACTTGAGCTCAATTGTGTCTAATGAAACAAATAAGTAAAGCCAGATGAAAATTACTACTTTTTCTATGTGTAGGCAGCATCTTTGTGAAGTACATCAGGTAAGCTGTTCTTCATTTAATTATTCATTCGTGCAATAAACATGGAACCTGCTGCTATGTTCCATGGACCTGCTGCTCTGAGATAAACACTGTCTAACAGTGGAGAGAGTATGTGAAGTAACACTATAGCCAAGATGGAAACGGGGTTGATGAGAGAGATTCTGGGAATCGGGAAAGGCCTCCAGAATTGAAAGTGACGTGGCTTGGGAGAAAAAAATAAAAACAAAAGTGAATCTGGAAAGAAACTCCCAATTTAGTATAATGTAAGCCCATGGTTTATTTTACAATGGAATCTGACATTTTAAAATATGTTTAATTAAAAGAATTAACGTACGGCAAGAAAATCAGGTCCGTCTTTGTTGTACATGAAAAGGAGCAACCCATTCAATTGGTCTGTTCTGAACTTGAAGGAAATCTCAAAGTCCAGGCCGCCATGAAATGTGCCCGGATCAAGTTCCAGGAACCCTTCAAAGAAAAGAATATGCACATATCAGCACGTGGAATGAAAAACTGCCAGCATTGTATGTCCTAAGATACCCTGAGGACACACACTGCGGTTGGGAAAATCTCTCACAAAAGAAGATGCCAATGAATGCTAAGGAATCTCCCTGTAGCCCAGCTGGGGTGGCTCAATGGCTGAGCATCAACCCATGAAACAGGAGGTCGAGGTTCAATTCCCAGTCAGGGCACATGCCCGGGTTGCAGGCTGGATCTCCAGTAGGGGGCGTGGAGGAGGCAGCCGATCGATGATTATGTCCCTTCACTGATGTTTCTATCCCTCTCCCTTCCCCTTCCTCTCTGAAATCAATAAAAAACAACACACACGTAACAGAAATCCTGTAACTTTACAGAAGTGGCAGAAGGAACGTGACACACCTTTTAAGAGGAAGTACTTTGTTCTTTTAAATCATGGCTACAACTAAGACTGTTACTGTTTCATACAACCATTAACAATAAGCACTTGCACTGTCTTCATAGAAACTCTGAATGATGACAGTGACGAGGAAGAGCAATGGAAGTGTATGCATGTGGCTTTCTATTCTGAAATTAATTTAAGCAACATAGTAACTGGCCAACCCCATTCTAAAGGCAGGAGGCAAAGGTGGGCTTTCATCTGAAGAAGAAGCCATGTCCCCCAAGCGGCCATGCTCCCCTCCACCCCTCACCCTGGGGGGCTGCCAGGCAGAGACAGTAGCTGGGGACATGCCGGGGACACTGCACCTCCCCCTTGCTGCAGCCCTGGGACAATGGCAGTGACGGTGGTTATATTCTCCAGCTCTCCCTTCAGGGCCTACGTACCTCCTTACAACGCTGAACTTTTACTCTGAGAAATACTGGCCCTCTACATGATAAGCAGAGATCTGTGGGTTAATCTGGTAACTCCTCTGAAACTTTTTTTTTTTTTTAGAGGTAGAGGAAGGAAGCAGGATAGAGAGAGAGAAACATCATGGATCGGCTGCCTTCTGGACACCCCCCTACTGGGGATCGAACCCACAACCTCCCCTGACTGGGAATTGAACCAGTGACCTCTGGAATCCTGGGTCAGTGCTCCACTACTGAGCCACACTGGCTTGCCTGAAACATCTTTCTAAGTACATTTCATTCTAAGTTAAACAACGGACTGACAAATGGACACTGAGAGCTGCTTTGGGCCATCACAGAGCTTTCGCATGAAGAGATATTTATGATTCTTACCATTTATATCACGTATTTAAGCTCTGAGCATGAGGCATAACTAGGTATTCACATGAGGTCTAAGTAATTGGGCAGGGGAGAGCCAAGTACGCCAAGGATGGAACATGGGTGCACAGCGATGACCGATGGCTGCGTGAGAACCTACCTGCTCCGAGGAAATGGGCTCCCTCTTGCAATGATGAGGGACATCCCTCCCAGATGTCATAGGAGTTGACTTGCTCTTCCGCATTCTGCCAAACCAGAGGCTCCCAAACTGCGGAGGGGTTGTAATTCCTCATAAAATGCACATCCCTGAGACAGCCCACAAAAGCCTTTCGGACTATGCCTGCAGGAGTTGACAGACATCAAGAAATATGTCTTGTGAAAAATGCTTTGCTAGCAATTAATTTTATGTGCAATTAAAATAAAAGAATTGGGCACGCGCTCTCTACCTATTTATTGCAAACTTCTTAATGATTCATGTAAATGCCACAGCACCACCTATGCTAAGTGGTAACAGAATATTTAGCCCTGGTTCAGACCCATCCTATACGCAGAAAGAGATGCTAAAGCAAAAACCTTTAGTTTTATAGGATTAGCAAGAATATTGACTTTTGAACTAACAAGGAGATTTCATCAGCCATGGTCTTAAAAATGGAAGAGTGGTCACATTTTAAAAGTATTTGAAGGAAGTGTTTCTATTAAATCTATAGTTTACAGTTTAGTTCCATCATCATAATAAACTAGTCTGTTATACAAGTCAGTCAGTAAGTTGACCTCATTTCTAGGAAGGGTGATTTTGTTTCCTTAGATTAATTTCATTCATGTTAGTTTTCTTAATTTCACTTAATTTCTCAAATATAGGAATTAATTTGTGACCCAATTCCGGCACTTAGGGCACATGGCTGGGATTATCTGTTGGCATATCTGCTCCCTCCATCGTGGCAAAGGCCTCATGTTAGTCACTGACGGACATCCAGGGCCTGAGTAGTGCCTTGCCCACCGTCCGGTCAGTTCTTTGCCCCATTCACTTAAACTGAAAATCAAGCCACTGCCATTTCTGTTTTCAGCGTTTTGTGTTCAATTTAAAAATCTCAAAAAAATCGACACATAATGCTCAGATAAAACATCATCACTTTGACTGAAATTAGTATAATTCAGTTAAGTCCAAGTTTAATGAACTCCAATACATCAAAGACTAATCACTAAGATTTTCAATTCAAGTAATACGTGGTTCCTTATGGGGGGAAAAAAAAGAGACCTAGTAGAAATTTGTGGCATACTGATACAGGAAACCAACATGACATATGAAATAATACATTACTCATATTTTTCAGTAATGCCATTGATACTATTCTAAATACTGGCGACAACATATCAATCCCGTGCCTCCCCACACTCACCGGCGTCCTTCCTCAGGACAGCGTAGCCCCGTGGCAGCCCTCCCACAAACACGCCCGTGTTCTCTCCGATGACAGTGCTGCCGTTCAGAAGCCCCGAGGAACCTGCAGAGGCGAAGAGAGAACCCCAATCTCAGCACGAGGGTCTTTTTCTTTTTAAAAAATATATTTTTATTGATTTCAGAGAGGAAGGGAGAGGGGGAGAGAGAGAGAAACATCAATGATGAGAGACAATCACTGATGGGCTGCCTCCTGCACGCCCCCTACTGGGGACCAAGCCTGTAACCCAGGCGTGTGCTCCCTTAACTGGAATCGAACCTGGGATCTTTCAGTCCACAGGCCGACGCTCTCTCTATCCACTGAGCCACACCAGGTAGGGCTACAGGAGGATCTTTTTCTACTAATTTAATGAACATTTTAACTCCTTCACTGGGCTTTGGGGACTTTGCTCTTTCTTGGTCCTCCTCTTACCTTAGTCCTCATCCTGGTTAATTTTCTTCACATGTTCCTCTTCATCACCCCAAACGTCTGGATGTTGAATGAGCCAGACTTCCTCCCCTCTCTGATCTCTTTCTCCACTTACAATGATGTCTCCGGAGGAACAGACAGGGGGCTGGGTTCCTGTGCGGACTACCAGGGCCAAAGACCAGAGTGGCCCAGGGCCCTGATTCTATTGCAAAAACATGCAAATCAATTTCTGTTTCCCAGCCCGAACCATGGCAAGGAGCCCAGGTATGCCTGGTCCCTTAACTTTAAATACAACCCCTCCGCTGTTTGGGAGCACCTCTGCCGACAACTCCCACGTGTCTCTCTAGCCTGCAACACTCCCTGAACTGAGTCTTGTATGTCCAGCAAGTCTTGTATGCCTGGTATCTCCACGTGGATCCAGCCTCATAGAGATACAAGACTTAACACTGAACTCTGAACATCTCATTCTTCCAACCTGCTTTTCCAGACTTCTGGTCCATCTTAGTTATGGCGGCTACATTCTTCCAGGGGCCCCGGCCCCAAACCTAGCACTCAGAAGCACCACCCTTTCTGTCAAGGGCCAGATAACATAAATTATAGTCCTTGCAGACCGTGCAGTCCCACGCAGCCACAGACAATACGTAACAAATGGATAGTCACATTTCAATAAAACTTTATAAAAACAGGTATGAGCTTACAATGGCCCAAAGGTGGTAGTATGCCTGTTCAAATCCTTTTAATGTAACATTTATAATCTCTCCAGATTCCTCATTATATCCAGGTATATATATCAATTTGTATTCATTGCTTCCCTGGTTCAAAAAAACAAACTTTTTTTTTTGCCTGAATTATTTTATTATAGCAGAAGCCTACTCACAGGTCTCCATTGCTTCTACTCTTGTTCCCATAAAATGTATTCCCCTAAGATCAGCCAGAGTGTTTCCTTTAAAGAAAGAGGTCACTCCACATGGCTCCTCTCTCAGAGTTCCCTAGCTTCCGTCTTTCCAAGTAAAAGTCCTCCAAGCCTCACTCCATACAGTCCTCAAGGTCTCTCTGACCTCACAGCCTGCGCCAGCCCTCCGCCCCTTTTACATCCTATGCTGGCCTCTTGCTGGTTTGTAGACATGCCACATATGACATCTCCCACCTCAGGTCCCTGGACCTACTGTTTCCTTGGCTGGAAACAGCCTTCTGCTGAATACTTTCCTGACTGTCCCCTTTACCCCTTTAGATCTCTACTCAAATGTCAACTTAGCAGACAGGCCATTTCTAACAGTCTTTACTAAAATCAGAACATCCCCTCCCAACCCACACACCCCCACCTTTCCCTCCTATCCTGCTTTATTATTCTTAGCATGTTTCTCACACTGGTTCAATATATATGTATGCTGTACCCTGTCCCTCTCCCACCTAAAGTGTAAATTTTGCTCTTTGGTGTCCAGAATTCCTAGAGCAGTGGGTGGCACACAGTAAGTGCCATACTATATATCCTGAATGAATTAATAAAAGCCTGCAACATCTTACAGGTACTGTGACTGTCCTATAGTTGCAGGATGATGACAGACAGGGTAAGATGGAAAGACACTCAACTTAGAATTGCAAAGACAGGCTATGTAACCCCAACAACACAACCCACCAACCATATAAACTGGGAGAAATTATGTATCTTTTCTGAGGCTTGATTTCCTTATCACTAAAATGCATATAATAACTGTTTTATTTTATTTGTCTTCTGAAGTCAAAAGTAACATGAAGTTCAGAACGTAAGTACAAGCCCTGGCAGATTGCAAGAAACTGTACAAGATACGAAATTGTCATCGATGACTTTGTCTTCTTTTTCCTTTACTGAAACCCTACATAGGTAAGAATATGGTTGCCAGACTGCTTTTCAGAGGCACCCAAAGGCCAACTCAAATGCAATTTAGATGAAATTGTGTGGAGGAAAAGGTGAAGGGAGAGATATAAAAATAAGTATGGCAACATCAGCATATAAACAGCCACTTACATACATCAACTTCTTACCTGTGTACTGCCCGTCCAGCGTGATCCAGCCAAAAGCCTGATGCCTCACAGCAACTATGTCATGCCATTTGCCATCACTGTATTGTTTATCATCATCATTAGTGGTGGTCACTTCCACTGAAGACCCCTGAAGGGAATGAAAGAGTGAGTGAATGAATGAATGAATGAACACATGTTCAAACAAAAATACATATACAGAGTGGGGAAAATTAGGATTATCGTTGTGAGCATACAAAACACAATTTATTCTTGTATTATCATTTATTAATGACTATATTATTTCCCATATGAACAATTGTAAACCTACCCTGAACAGAGCTTCTCTTTGGAATAAGAATTTCTTACAAGTACATTTACATTTTGATGAACTATATTCATCAGAAAGGTAATGAATTTTCTATTTTAAACTTTTATATTTTAATTTTTGTCAGAAATATTTAAAAAGATAAGAAGTTGAAACTAATAAAACACTATTCAATTGATACTGTTTTAATGACAGGGAAAGGTCTGGCAAGTTAGTTTTTCTTATGTACATTACACTACTAATAAGGAATGCAGTCACATTAAAATCAGCCAGCTACTAAAAAAAATTGACCATAAGTGTTGTGGTTAAACATAGTACGCAATGCTTGTACTCTAAAATCTAGCATTCATACTTATGCCTCAGGTAATAGTATCACAGTTCAAATGAGTTTCTAAGTGGGTACTAAGAAATGACAGATATCAAGAATTGAGATTTGCAAAAAGGATGTGGGGGTAAGAAAAGAGAAGGAAAAAGAACCTTCTGTCTCAGCACTTTACAGCAAAGTGAACACCTTTTCGGTACATCACTGACACAATGGTACTCCTTTAGCGTGTATGAGCAAGTACGACTAAATAAAAGATATCTGAACTTTGTCACCATCATCGTTTAATACTACTAATAAGAAAAAGTAATCAGAAAATTATTCTAAACCTTCTAAATAAATAAATATTTCTTTCTTAATGAAGTTTATTTCCTTAGCAACACTTAACTTCAATCCAATAACAATATTTAAAAACCAAAATTAAGATTGGGTAAAATATTACAAAATATTCTATTACTTGGAATGTTTCACAAAACTACTTATTTTGGTGTTGTGTTTTTCAAAGAGAGAAAACTGATCATTATCTGCTGTAATATGGCTGAAGATTTATATCACAAAAAGTGCAAAGTTAACCATACTATTTAAAACATTTATGTTTAAATTTCCCTAAAATAGCTTCAGCAATATAACATGTCCATTCTACACATTTAATTGGCTCCTGTCAGGCCTCATACAGAGCATGACAACACGTATGACATACAGAATTTCATATTACAAAAAAAAAGCATTTAATTTCCCCGGAGTATAAATGGCTTGCTTCTCTCATGGACAATATCTTAACCTCTATAGACAACTCGATTGGCAAAGAAAACGACCACTTGGTAAGTCCATTTTCTAGCTCTTGGATTTTCATAGGCTGATTTTTCTTATATCTCTTTCCTCTGCATGCTTTTTTTTTATTTCCTTCAACCCTATTTCAACATTTTAATATTTTACAAACACACATTTCATTATCGTAGTTTAATAATTAAAACCAGAACTGGTGTCGTGCCCAATTAATGTGCCCTGGTACCATGCCCATTAGTTTTTCCATTAGTGAATTCAACAATACTAATGGGATTACTAGCATGGGATGCTAATTGGGCGTGACATAAGAAACTGGCTTACTTCTTAGCATACCCTTGCTAATGATGAAATTAATGAGCATTTTATTAAATGCTGTCTCATCAAAGTGTACTTAGTTAGCGTTAAAATTGTTACAAACGATGCTGCATTCTAAAAGATCAGGTGCCCAAGTTAGTGCTTCTTCATATTATGTTTGGCAACTATCTGAAGTATGAATAGGTCTCTACATTGGAAATCGCATTTATTGGAGATAACGTCAAGGCAAGAACACACAGACTCGGTATGTCAAGTGTGCTTTCTACTTAGCATACTATTCTTTGATCATCATTTTAAAGATGATTTCCCCCAATCAACGGTAAGAGAATAATGCTGTGATCAATTCTGGTGTCATGTCATACAGTTTGTTCTTCCCATTTGGAAGATATCAGACATGTTAAATAGAAGCTATTCAGAACGTTGGAAACCTTTCACTGCCATAGCTTTCTAGTAAATGAAATCAGAATGCTTTGTGGATTTCCTGTTAATGTCACTGAACCTAAAATATTTAAATGATAATCACTAGTCAAGTCATTGTTGGTCAATAAAATATCATCTGATCAAGTGAATTCAAACTGAAACCAATCCAGTAAAGAATGGAAAGATTATAGCTAATTGTTAGAGACTTTAAAAAAATACTATTAAAAATTGGAGTCATTTGTCTCTGCCATGACTCATAACAACGGTTCCAAGAGTTCAGTCCAGAATATGATAGCACACATGTAATTTTAAATATTATGAAGAATCTTTCTCCCTTCCCCTAAATATTTATCCATAGAATGCATTGGATAGCTAGAAGGGAAACCAAATAAATTTTTACACCTGTAGCCTCCATGTAGGATTACATCGTATGTTATGCATTCCATTCATTACTTATGTTCACTAAGAGGTTTTTATAAGAACAAAGTACACAATAACTTAGAGTTATTTTGAAACTATATGCCAGACAGTAGCTTTAAATTCCTAAAAATGCTCTTTTTACAACTCAAAATTTAGTGATTTTGAATAGATTCACGAACTATAATTTAAAAATAACCATTAGTAAAAGTCAAAGTATCTAACTGATAAAACAAATAATTAAATTGTTACACAATCTTTAAAGAGCTAGAAATCTTATTCTAGAAAATGGGTAACTGTCTTCGAGCCTGAGTAGTAGTTTACTAATGATTTTCAAGTCATTAAATTAGCCAATCTGTCAACAGACATTTCTTTATTGAGCATGTACTATGCTTCAAGGGTTGTGCGAAGCCTCGAGAATATATTTGAGGACAAAATAGACTTTCCCCTCAGTGGATTCTGCAGTCTGGTAAGAAAGACACATTAAGGAAATAACTACGTATCTGATGACTACAATAGGATGTTCATTAGATAATCTCATCTCAGGTAAAGCCCCAAAGTAAATAAAAGAGAAATAGGTTGGATGTCAATGGGAGGCACATCACACAAACATAAGCTTATTTAAACCAGGGGGGCTTCCACTCTGTGCAAGGGGCTGTGCTGCTATCCCTCCCCAAAGAAGAACAAGCAATGGAAGAATATTCCCCAAATTTATTTACAAGTTCTCATCTTCATTATATAAGGAACATATGGTCATTAACTGCATCGAGTACAACGATGTGTTCTGAAAGTTAGCTCTGCCATTTTAGCTTTGGGCAAGTAATATCACTTGTGTAAGTTTCTTTTTCTTCATTGCTAAAGTGGGGACAATAATGGTACTTACCTCGGCATTTCTGGTGAGAATTTGATGTGAAAACATGAGCACTTACCTTAGTACCTGGCACCTAAGAAACTCAAAAATCTTAACTCTTGCCCAGCCGGTGTGGCTCAGTGGTTGAACATTGAGCTATGAACCAGGAGGTCACGGTTCGATTCCCAGGCAGGGAGCATTCCTGAGGCTAGAGCCCCAGTAGGGAGCATGTAGGAGGCAGCCAATCAGTGATTCTCATCATTGATGTTTCTCTCTCTCCCCCACCGTCTCCCTTCCTCTCTGAAATCAATAAAAATATATTTAAAAACATCTCAACTCTCATGAGTAATCATTTACCTGAGGATCAAAGAGAAAATAAGGACGTCCGTGTTTCAACTGAAGCGCAAAGTACTCCTCCTGGTTGCCCGGGGACGCGGCAAAGACGAGCAAACCTCCAGGCTCCCTTGTTCGGAAGCTGGCCTTAATGCCTGTGGGACAAGGGCAGTCCGCAAGTCAGTGCCGGGTTTGTTGATTCTCCCTGATAAATGTACATTTGCTTTCATTATTATTTATGATGCAGTGAGTACAGTCAAGCAATTATACTAGTAAAACGGAACGTACGAGGAGGAGCCCAGCTGCTTGGTCTCAAATCTATCCCGTTATGAATGCCAACTTGGACTTGGAAGCCCAAGCCTGCACTCCCAGGAATCCATATATAACGAAGGTTAAATTTATACAAAACTCATCAATGGAACATATATGGTGTCGACCCAAAATAGGATGTTCAGAAATATCCATTTGACAGTGTTATCAGAGTCCTAAAAATGAATGGGTTTTGGACATGAGTGAAAGGAACAAGGGCCCTCGTTTAATACACTTATGTTCAAAGAACCGGTCCAGTAACAAGCTAAGAGCTGGGACGACCTGCTGCGAAGTGGTCCGCAGAGTAGAGCTAATGTTCTGAAACACCATTCTGTAACCAGAAGGTCTGAAGCCTTCCGAATTTTAGGGTCTCCCCTGGCCTTCACATCACCTACCAGCTCTACCTTAGGCACATCGTGCTCCTGTCTCACAGCAACTTCTCCAGCTCAGGACGCAGGGCAGTTTTCAGTGGTCACATAGACACCTTCCCACTGTCACCACCTGGTCCCACCTCCATTCTACCTGGTATCCCACCTGCCATACTACAGAGGCTTCCCTTGTGTGAGGCATTTCACTTATTGCACTGAAATTAGCAAAGAAGTTCAAGAGGCGCAATCTTGATTCTGAATGCGTTTCCAGTTTAGTTGGAAAGATCAAATGCATACATATAGAGAGAGTAATTAGTGGGCCAGTGCACAGATTCATGCATGGGTGGAATTCCTTGGCCTGGCTGGTGATTGGGCCGATCGGGGCTGTCTCACCTAGTCCCTATCAAGGCTGGCCGGGGGGAGGAACTGCGGGAGATTGGCTGGCCAGGGGAGGTTGGCTGTGGGAGTGCACTGACCACCAGGGGGCAGCTTCTGTGTTGAATTGCCCCCTGGTGGTCAGTGCATCATCATAGCGACAGGTTGACTGGTTGTTCGGTCGACGGGTCTTAATGGTCACTTAGGCTTTTATAGATACACATTATATGGTCAGAGTCGAGTAAAAGCTCAAGAACATACACAGGAATCATGTACCAACCAGCTCAACAGCACAGCACTGAGTAACTCATGGATGCGGATTTCAGTAGTAACACCACCAACCAGAATTATGAAAGTCTGAAGGAGAGAGAGCTCCTTTCAGGCTGGGCTGGTAGGGAAGGGTTTCATTCTGAGTTCAGCAGACTGCAACCACCTCAACAACCACACATGTCTAATCGATCTTTCCTCGTGCTTTAGATCCTGCTAGGAAGATGAAATAAATACGTCTAGCTAAGATAAGAGTTACCTATCCTGATATAAACCACATTGCTTCACTCACACTTTATAGACAATTGGGACTCTCAATGCACAAGCAGTGCCAGAGATAAAAGATGCTGTATTAGAGGAGTCTATCCAATTGGTCAAAGATGTATCAAGAACTGCTGAAAAACAACATGAATTAAATATGCTAAGGCGATAGTCAAGGTATATTTGGTCAGGAAATTAACTGTGGTATGGAGAATGGCGTCTCAATGCATCAGCTCCCGAAATTAAAGTAACACTCTGCACATAAAAACAA